GGAGAGAGAGGGAGAGGGAGAGAGAGAGAGAGAGAGAGAGAGAGAGAGAGGGAAAGTGTCGAAAACGGGAAATTAACTTACGTTTATGAGGAGAGTGTTGGTTGCTGTAATTATGTCATGTGCATGCAAAAAATTTACTGTGTGGGAGATCAATTATGAATTTCTGTTTCTTTATATAGACGTCTTATTTATTTATTTATTATTGGTTAAAAAATAGGGCCACGTCTGGTTGTGGGATCAGACTTCAGAGGTTGAAACTTTGCGATATATGATTTGGGTCTATCTCTCTCCCGTTGCTTCCTTTTGAACCAGTTTATAATTAAGTCGACAGTCTATACAGACAATAGCCTGTGAAGATGAGAGAGCTGGAAGTAAGAGAAAGAGAAAGTTGATCATAGAAAACCTCACAGTTTAAAAAGCTTAAAAAAAGCTGCTTCAAATTTACCGAAAGCAAGAAAGCAAGAAAACAGCTTTTTCTCTCTTCTGTCTTTCCAAATCTCAATTTCTCAAACCCATGAAGGAAACTTTATTGTAACTGGGAATTTGGTCTTATTAAACTTGTCGTTAATCAGAGTCTGTTCGTGAAATGTTTCCCAGTAATCCTTCCGATCCATTCTCTTGCTTGGAAACTGGAACCAACAGTAATAATAAGAGGAAAAGAAGACCGGCAGGAACTCCAGGTGTGTATGCATACATATACATATATACGTGTATAATTAATGGGTAGCATATTATATTATATGGGTTGATTAATAAATTTGATCTGGCATCTCCCTTGTGTTTCTTGTGATTATTTCTATTGTATCATAATCTGTGTATACGTATCACGGGGCAGATCCAGATGCAGAGGTGGTATCCTTGTCACCAAAAACCCTAATGGAATCCGATCGTTACGTGTGTGAGATCTGCAACCAAGGGTTTCAAAGAGACCAGAACCTGCAGATGCACCGGCGACGACACAAAGTGCCATGGAAGCTGCTGAAGAGGGAGACGCCCTCGGTGAGGAAGCGGGTTTTTGTTTGCCCGGAACCCAGCTGCTTGCATCACGACCCGTGTCATGCTCTCGGCGATTTAGTCGGCATCAAGAAACATTTCAGACGGAAGCACAGTAATCACAAGCAGTGGGTTTGTCACAAGTGCTCTAAAGCCTATGCCGTTCAGTCTGATTTCAAGGCTCATCTCAAGACTTGTGGAACCAGAGGTCATTCTTGCGACTGCGGCCGTGTTTTCTCCAGGTGATCAGTTTATTTTTTAATCTAAATTTCTTCTTATATATATATATACATATATATATGCACACACACAACAGCTAGCTCCCAAAATTAAGAACCCAGAGATTTTTTTATCAAATTTTCTATTATTCATGATGTGTTTTGTTTGAAACTGAAAACCCAGAAATGGTTTCTTCTTTTGCGAGTTATATATGTAGGATTTCTGCTCATTTCCCATGTCTACTTCTATGTAGGTAACTCACTATACTAGCATATTTATCCTTTTTTCCCTTCTTTCTTTATATATTATATAGATTTATATTTGCTTCCTTTTCTTCAATCTACTTTTAAAGAAAAAAGTAATCTTTAATATTGTTGGACTTTGTCTCCGGACTTCTCCATTGTTTCCAAGCAAGTCGAAATCATCTCATCCATCTTTCCTGTTGATGCTAAAAGTAAAAAGACATGTTCATCTTAATAACACCTTTTTGTTAAAAGGAGCTCAACATTAATGATTCCTTTCACTTGCATATACATAGAGTTGAGAGTTTCATCGAGCACCAAGACGCTTGTAACATGGGTCGTGTCCGGCCGGAGACACAACCGAAGCAGCAGCCACCGGAGACGCCATGTTTGTCTCGCTCAACTTCAAGTACTCCAACTCCATCCAGCGACACCAATTTCAGTACTACACCAGCTGGTAATGGATCAACCATGGTGGTTCCAACAAATCCAGCTATTACAGATTCCATGTTCTTGATTTCTAAGGAGGATAATCATTCGAAAAACAAGTACAACTTAGAGTTACAGCTCTCCACCACGACATCTAATCCGCTTGATCGGGTCTCAGCTGTTTCTTCCAAGATATATGATAATCACTCTACTCATTTGCAACTTTCCATTGGTTCCTGTGAATTCTTGGGGGGTAATCAAAGAAACGAGTATTCCAGCTGCGAGAAGCCAGCTTCAAGGGAGCTTAAAGACGAAGCTCGGGAGCAGTTGAGGTTGGCCATGGCAGAAAAGGCTTATGCTGAACAAGCAAGACAAGAAGCGAAAAAACAGATTGAATTGGCCGAGCAGGAATTCGCCAGTGCCAAGAAAATCAGGCAACGAGCACAAGCTGAATTAAACAAAGCTCAAGTTTTAAAAGATCATGCAATCAAGAAAATCAACTCTAATATTCTTCAAATCACTTGCCAATCTTGCAAGCGCCATTTTCAAGCAACAAATCCTTTTACTCATCATAACTCTTTGGTTTCAATGAGTTATTTTTCACCAGCCATACTTTCTCAAAGTGAACTAGAGATTACTGCTTGTAGGCACCAAATTAATTTGCACCAAAACTAACATACCTCTTCCTCTTTAATATATATATATATATATGTGTATAGTATAATATGATCATTTGTTCATGGTGATTTAATTTGTAACTCACTATTTAGCTTTGTGTAATGTAAAATAATTGATTCTGATCACCAATCATGTCAAAAGCTTAAACTGAGTCGGGAAATGCTTAATTTGATTGCTTTGATTTTAAGAGAAAGAGAATGGAAAGATTTTCAAACAGTCTACCACTTATATCATAACAAATATATTATGATTGTAAACTGTATCCACTTTTTCTAAAGAAAAAATAAGCTGATAGCAAAAGTTTCACCTAATATATTCTAATACTTGTGCATATACAGTAGGTTTAATACTCCATATTGATATATATATATATATGTGTGTTTATTACTGTGTACGATCTCAACTTAAATTGCAAATCAGGCTCAAGTCATGCTATCTAGATTTGATTTATGAAGAGTTAAGCATGTCTGAATCTTCTTGAACAATGCAAATTAATTTCTCTAAAAATCTTTTTAAAATTCTCTCTCTTTCTACACACACACACACATATATATATATATACGGGGATTGGCAATTGCATTACATACATGTATATGACAGTAACTATTTCATTGAATGATGAAATATATATATATATATATAAATATAAAAATAATTTGTGTACAGAAAAACTGTTGGTATTTTTGGATTTTGTGTTTGGAGTATATGAAGATGTTTGTAACATTAAAGAGTAGTACTGACCAGGCATTTATAACATAAAACTCTCATAAAAATGGGCATGAGAGAGAGAAAGAGAGACATGTTTTTTTTTTTTTTTTTTTTTTTTGGGTCATACAAATTAAAATTAAAAAATGATTTTCACCTATTTTTATCACTTTGTTCTTATTGCTTCAAAAAACACCAATATATTGTTAAACAAATTTAAAATTTATTTTTTTAATTAATTTTAATTATTTATTATTTAAAAAATTAAAAAGTACTAAACCCCATTTATCAAAATTTTTACCCATTATCTTAAAAAAATAATAAATAAAAAATCTTATATATAAAATTTTAAAAAAAAAAATTTCAGATAAATATTTTTATTTTTTTTTTTCCCTTCTTCAATTCATGTACATAAGAATTCTACTCATTATATAGAAAAACAATAAGTGACGAATTTGATTTGTAAATATTATACCTATAGTTTAAAATGATAATAAATATTTATAAAAAAAACATACTTTTATTCTTTTTTTGTTTTTGGCTTTTTGTTTCTCTTCTTTAGTTGGAATACATATTAAGTTAATTATAAGGAGGTATATATATAGATATACCTTGATTATTGATTTATTTGCAGTAGTTTTTTGAGTAACATATCATGGGTATGTTTTTAGGTGGGTACGAAAGAAGATGAAGATGTTGTCGAATTCAATTGAAAACAGAAATTGAGTGTCGGTATAAGAAAAGTTATTCTATTTAAATAAAAAGAGGAGGAGGAGCATGTTTTTCAGTGCCAAGAGATGTAATGGTTGGAAGGAGAGAGATTCTCACCAGTCTCTTTCAACTTCTTCGAACAAACACAAATACACAAAACAAAATCAATTGATTCAGAGTTGATCATCAAAATCAGGGTCATCCCTTGTCAGTGCCGCGTGCATAACCACACTCCAAAACCTGTCCTTCCATTTATGCCGGACAAGAAACCTTTTCTTTCTCTCTAACTTACCTCCTTTGAAGAAATAAAATAAATAAAATCAATAATTTCAAGTTATGTAATAAACCTCAAATGCCATCTTTCCAACCAATCTAGAATTTGGACTAAATGATACTACGATGGCCACAGAGAAATTTTCATCTCATATAAAATTCGAGTGAATTTAAATTATATTATTTTAATTCTACGTGAAACTATATGCGTAAGAGTTCACTCCCAAATGAAATCAATTAAATTTTCTCCTACTCTTCCAAACATACCATAAGACGATTTGAGTGTTGTTATGACTTACCAATAAAATCAAAACATTAAAAACCCAACAAAAAAGATTAAATTGTCCGAAGAATGAAACCATACAGATTTAATATAGTTGGCAAATGGAAGGAGTAATTTTTCTCCACAAGGCAAAACGTACAAGAATGCGGGAAAAGATAAAAAGTTCGAGGGAGGTTTAAAGAGCTGGGAAAAGCTTGTCGAGTCTGAACGGAAGTCCATAGAATTCATTATTCCTAACATCTGAATTGTACAAGCAAAACTTCTCCCACCACTTCAAGCCACAGTCATTTCGAGTCTCCTCATTCTGCCGCGAAATCGTGCAATCCAAGAACAATGCAACTAATGCAGCCACCGTTGCATGAGACATGAAGATAACCTTGATTGTATCGTTGAACTGCAATCGTTTAAGCCAGAATTTTCTGAAAAACCTTATACTAAGTAGTTTCTTTACGGCTACATCTTAGTTATTTAAAACAAAGTTAAATGCTATCTTCAATTTTTTTTCTTTTTTAAAAAAAAAAAAAAAAAGAAAAGCTTAAATGCTGAAGGCAATAAGCCATGAGAGTTAAGATGTGATTTACTAAACTCTGATTAAGAAATTCTTACCCATGTGGAACTAGTATGAAAATATTCTGACCTCCAGCCTCCTTGGTAATATTCTCTGAAGTACTGCGGAACCGAAATTCCCATGAATAAAGAGAAGCCTAAGATAAATTTTGTTTTGAAGCTGTTCAGATTGCAGAATTGGAGAAAGCTGAGACCAGCAGACGCTACATGGGCAAAAAAACAACGGTCAACACTTGAAGGAAATATATAATTCTATAATCGTAAAACCAAGTATTGGCAAAAAAGAAAGGAAAGGAAATGAAAAGGAAAAACAATAAAGGAAACATCGGTACATACAGACAAAACAAAATAGAACACAATACATAGCTGCTACAATTGGCAGAGGTATAGAGGCGAAAAAAGCTCCAAATTTTCCTGGTCAAGAACACAAGATGATAAAACAAGATCAAAAAAAGAAACATCATAAGCTATGTGTGTAACTGTGTATTTATGTCTTGAAAAAACATGTACTTATGTCTTGAATAAACATATAAGATGCCATTTCAACACCAAATACCATCCATCTTAGTGAAGACCATATGAGAATTAAGCATTTAACATAAAATTTTAAACTAATGATTCCCAAGTGCTGAGATAATACCAAATACAGAGAAGACGATCATGAAGGCAGCTGATATTTGTGTCACTCTTCGGCTTCCAACTTTTGTCAATGCCAATAAGCCAGCATTTTCTCTGTAGAAAGCAATATATGAGAGGAGGCAAATAAAACTACCCCATGACTGCTTAGTTGAAACAAAGAAGTCGCATCGTTCCTTCAAAGAGGCATCCCAAGCAAGGGAAAAAGCAAGTTTTCAAGTCATCCCAAGTTTGTTTCTAAATGTTCAGAAGGTATAGTTTATAGCTCAATTGAGCTGAAGCCAGAGCTACCAGTCAACTAAGTTAGACAACTCACAGACAAGCATGTTGGGTGCAAAATCTCCTAGACATTTGACATACTGACACAACGAAAATATTTAACAGTAAGAAATGTTCCTTACACTGAAGCTGTTGTTCCTGTCAGACCACCGAGTATGCCACTGAGCAAAACCCCAATCCCCTGAAATCCAGATAATTGTACAAGTGATATGAAAGAATAAAACTGCATCATTTTATTGTGAAATTGTGAAAATAAGTTGTACCAGCCATCCAGTACCGCGGCTGATCACTGAAGGTGGAGCTGGTGTTGCACTTCCGTATCTTCCTGCTACAATAAAAGTTCCTGTAGACTGCACATTAAGAGAAAAAGAAACGGGGGATTTATCTTTGCTTCTATAAAGTACTGTAATTTCCAAAAGAAGAAAAAAGCTCCGGCTTGTTCTTCTTATTACATTAGATACATATATAATAAACTGCAAGGCACCTGTCCTTGGCATATATAAAGTCTATGATTACTGAATGAGCATATTGTCCTTCACATACAAATTGAACGTAATTACAACGCACAAACAGAGAAACTAGAATATAAGCTATGAACTGGTAAACACTTTTAAATAGTGAACCTCAAAGATAGATACGAAAGAAGCAGCCATCATTGCAAAAGCTTCTCCAGCATTAAAGGTAGGGCTTCCCCATTGAAATGGGTATGGAATATATATCCTGTATGTAAACCAACAAAGAGGAGTATAACTTTGAATATTTTGAAAATTATGTAGAAAGTAGAGAATTCATAAGGCTAAGTTTCTGAAGTAGAATGAAAAAAAGATAAAAAGGAGAAAAGGAAATCCTGCAATGATTGTAATAGTTAAAACACAGTTTAAACACCTCAAGAGCTATGACACATTTTTTGTTTTCAAAAAATAAAACACTGTTAATGGTGCACCACAAGAGACTAATTATGCTAAAAAAGCACGGTGAGAACAATAAAGCAGCAAAACTTGCAACAAGCAGCTTTCTTATAGAAACCTATATTAGCTGTAAGTTTTTTCATTGAACCTCACCAAGAAGCTTCACTAATGAGTCCAGCACGATCAGTGCGACAACTAAGCTGAGTTGCTGCAGGTTTGTGATTGTATACAGCAGTTGAAGTAAGAAGCTGAGCATATAGCCACACAATTGCAACTGAGAACAGGACTGCGAATCGTTCACATAGATGAGGTTTTGATTTTATTAAACGAGGAAGGTACTGCAAAAAGTAGTCGATTGATCAGAATATTACACTGAAACTACAAAAGAAAGTTGACAGGAAAAACTCATTGGTGAATAACAACTGCATGCACCATAGCCTTCTGTCATTGTGTCTAAATAAAACATACCAAGATTAGCAACTAGGAAAGGATAGTTTTCTGCTCTTGACAATTACATTAGGCGGAAGATGATGGCCCGAAATGATATATTTTATTACCTGATTCTTTCCTAGAAAATTTAGTCAAATGGATGTCTATATAAAGAACCATGTAAAGCTGCATTACCCTTGAGAGCATTCCAAATGTCATTTCCGTAATCCTGGCTTTGTTACTATAAAATTTGTAGTTTTCTGCTTTTCTTTCTGGCGCAAAGATGGTAAGAATTCGAATGCCACTCCTATGAAGCACATTTGTTGCTTAATTCTTACAATTAGATAGCTCATATTCTTTTCTCAATCTTCATCGAACAGGAAGCATAAGCTACCACAAGAATATATCAACGAAACAGTTGAATCCGTAGCTCCATTTATCGATAAAAAGAAAAAGTAAAAGGAAGAAAATGGTGCAGAAAATGAAAATGACATGATGGAGCACTATTATTCTGGTTGTTCTGCAGCTAACAAACAAGATTTGCACAAGGCATGTTGAATGAACAAACAAGAAACTATAATAGACAGAAATGGGCATAATGGTTGTTATGCTGTGCAACTATGAAAGCATAACAATACATGGGAAATAAATGAAGACAAAAGAAAAGTTGTGCTCCTTACTTGGGAGATTAAAACCAGCAGGACAATCTCTGGAAGGCCAACCTCAACACATCTTGCCAGCTAAAAAGATGGAGAAGAGAAATGAGATGACATTGATAGTGAATAAATTGTAGTTTGTAACTAATTCAGTTATCTAACAGGATAAATAGACCAAAATGGAGAAGCAAAAACTCAGACGTTGCACATGCTGCACGAAGAAACTCTTCAAGAACAACAAATTCGGGTCTACAGTCAGTCAGCATGCGTTTTCCATTTATGAAGGGCTTCACCAATCCAGAAATTGGTTTTTCCCCAAATTTGTTGACATTGGTAAAATATTTAATTATGACATTAACATGGAATGAACAATGATCTTGAATTAAAATTTATTACCATTTTTATTTTACAAAGCTATTGTTACGACTTCTCCCAGGTTTGTATTTGATAAGCAGTAGTTTAGAGGCTAGCATCAAAACAATTAAACTAAAAGAAGATTTCTTCTGAACAACAAAAGAAATATTACAAATTCAGAAGGAGTTAAACGAACTAGCCACTATATCTAGCTGTTTCTCTATGGAACATTGCTAGAAAAGTTTTAAAATTGTAGAAAATGAAAAAAGGGTATTATAGTAAAAAAAAAAAACAAAAAACAAAAAGTGCAGGCTACCATGGGGAACCCAAGATGATAGAGTCCAAGCCCAGTAAGAGTTACGAATGGAACAACAGAGAGAGGACTTAGGAACCTGAAAAAGGAAAAAAGAAAAACAAAGAAACAAACAACACTGTTACTAGTGAAAAAAAATCTCAACTGCGAATGACAAAAACTTTAAAGTGTTTGAACACTTGAACATTTTACCGTAAAGCATTTCTCCATAATCCTAAGAAGCCTACCACAGTTTGGAAACATGCTGTAACAATTAGTGCACCTTGTATCGCTCTCATCGTTCGGTCAAATCTCTGGAAAATCACACGAGAATCTCATGCAAAGGAAAAAAAAAAAATTTAAAAAAAAACAGAGCTGAAAACACAAAACTAACATAAAAGAAAACTCTTCACCTCATAAGGATCTGGACACGAACTGAATCTATTGGCCACGATGATAGAGGTTATGGGTATTGTATATGCATATGAACCCACTACTACCACTGGAAGGCGGGTCCCAAATAGAGTCTGGAATAATGTGCTCAACCCCGAAACGAACAGTAACGTCTGTATCACTCTACCCTTCTCCAGCTAGCAGTCAAAAATTAAAATCAAAGAAGGAATGGTAATAAGATTAAATAATTGGAATAGTTCAGCTGGAAGAAAAATACAAAAACAAAAACAAAGAAATATTAGAAGAAATTGAAAGTTTGCGGGTGATGTTGTGTGTCTAATCTTACATCACCACCTCCCATCTGAGGAACAATTATGGTTGGAATTAATACAGTCATCCCAAGAGTCAAAAGATAATGCTGAAACCCCAATAAGAATGCTTCAGCTGCAATTCATAGAAAGGTATTTGTCTTATTAACATTCATTGAGAAACAAGCAGAAACTGAAAATAAAGGAAGGCATGAAAGGGGAGATAGAGAACAGACGTACGCCAAGGAGGAGGACTGTTAACGCAGTATTGAATTCCAGGTAGTTGCTCCTTCACTGGGTGTGGTTGTGGTTGTATCTCCTCAACTTTCTTGCTGCCGCCATTGCCAGTGCCTCCGCCGCCACCTTGTGCCATTTTAATTACCTAGAAAAGGAAAGCTAAAGATGCAGATGAATGAGAACAATTATATAATTGAGGAATTAGAGAACCGTTACTTTGCTGTAATTATGTCATTTATTATAAAAATATTCGAGTTTTATTGATTCCTTCTCATTTGAATTTTCAATTGGTTTTGGCAATCATTTTCTTCTTCTTCTTCTTCTTCTTCTTCAAACAAATAACTGATACACGAAATTAAATGAGTATAATAACCATTTAGTTTTCTATTTATTGAGTCAGATAATATATTCGCCGGTCAAAAGAATTTTAAACTAATTAAAACAGGTACCGTGACTGAGCCACCGTAATCTTGTCATTCTCTCAGCTAAATCAGCAAGGAGTCCATGGCCGCTATCTTCGACTCAGCGCTCCCAATACGGAACCTTATAGGCCTCTTGTTAACGAAGTGGCGGAGACGACGCAGTAATTCCTGATTGAAATGTCGCTGTGCTTGATGTGCCGATCCAGCCTGACCAGGATAAATTCAACATCGGCCTTGATCTTGAGCTCACCGTCTGTCCAATCACATTTGGCGCCTACAGGAGCCGCGTCGTCGAGATTGGCGAACTGAGTCTGGAGATCGATGATCTGGTTAAGGAGCATTTGCTCTTAAATGTGTGAAAGTGAATGTTAGGGATTTGGTCCGAGAGGGAGGGAAGAAAGAAGGGGGCTGGGGTTTGCGTTCTATAGCTCTGTCTATCAAGGAAGAGAGAGAGAGAGAGTGAGGTGTGAGATGATGAGGAAGAAGTTCTGGGAACGGAAAGAAGCATAATTTTCCCGCTTTTTTTTAATAATCCACCACCCAATATCTTATAAATTATAAAAAGGAAACAACGACTGATACCATAAGTCGCTTATATATGGCATGGAAGATTATAAGTTTAAATTTTATTAAAAATATATAATTTATTATTTTATATATGTATAATGTATTGATGATGAATGTCTAATATTGTTTAATTCATTATAATATTACTTGACAACTAGAATATTAATGTAGAATTATATTTTTTTTTAGTTTTGTAGTCTCAACTTATTAAACTTGAGTTACTTTCTTTTTTCATCAAAAATTTTACACTTTTTTTTTTGGCTTATGTTCTTAAAATCTTAATCAAATGTCGATAATTTTTTTTTTCCTTTTGTTAATATTATACAGTTTAAAAATTTTGGTATTAATATAAAAATATTTTTTAAAAAAAAAATAATATTAAGTATCATTAATTATAGAATAAACATGTTATTGTGACTTAATACTTCCAATTAACGATCGTTGAAATGGTTAAAAAGTAAGTGAATAAAGAACTTATATAAGAAATTAGTTAAAAATGATGAGAGTGTGTAATGTAGTAGAGAATGACTAATAGAGGGAGAGCGATGAGAGATGTCGGAGGGATGAAGAAGAGTGACCTGAGTAGAGAGATGAAGATGAAGAGAGAGGGTCGTGAGATTAAGAGATAAAGTTATTCTTTCCCAAAATTTATCTTTGGTCACTTTAGTTTTTTCTATTCAATTCTGAACGAAATTAATAGTTTAAAATAAATTTAAAATTTTATGAATTATTTTTTCAGTAAGCAACATTCTGAGGACCAAAATATAATTTTAATCAAATTCGAGTATAAAATTACTAGTATTAACTTAGTAAGTTTTTTTAATATTGTGTTCAATTTCATACTTGGTTTCTAGTTTCTAATTTTCCATTTATTTTTTCATTGAAATGCCTTTTTTTTTTTTTTACACCCACGGTTAAAAGTTTTTAATAATTGCTCTTACACTTAAGGACGAAAATTTTTGAAACAATAAAATGTGTATTAGTGTAAAAAAAAAAATTAGGACGAGCTAAATTTCAAAAATCAATTAATTCTATCAGTATGTTTGGGAGTTGGTCCATTCACCAACCCCAGATTTGAAGCATCTTCATCCCAGCATCTTCTTGTCTAAACAAAAGAAAATTGGCAATTTTGAGAGCTATGACAAAGAGTTCCATGCTTTTTCAAGCGTCATCTGCAACATTGTTCACCATTGTCACAATACTTACCTGTGTCGGCTCCTTACCAAAACGCATGGAAGGAACTAATGCGCACCATCAGCATACACGGGCCCTTTGCCCATCCTGTTCTTCTGATCCCATCACACAAGATTTCATGTCTCTCTCCGTAAAGCATCTTTTGTATGGTACAAATCCCTTCGAACAATTGCGAGAATGTGGTTTTATACACTGAGAATCACTTTCTGAATTCTTCTCCCTATTTTCCAACCCAGCAACTGAATTAGCACAAGACTTTCCATTCAGATTTCGCTTCTCTTTGAAGTTTTCATCCCCACAAAAACTTACAGGTGAGTGGAGGTGCATTTGGTTAGATAACGTTAGACTAAAAGAGGGTAAAGCCTGGTACTGAGTAATTGACTCCAGAGGAGAATCAGCAGTGGCTTCCACAAAGGTTCTCTCTCCATCACAATCCATGAAATGAACAACCGGTCTCTCAGCTGGCAACCAATTCATATTTTTATTAACTGCTCCAGTTCCAAGAGATAAATGTGTGTCTAATTGCTTTGACTGAAAAGTCTGAATAAGATTTATATTATCGGTATCAAGATTCTCTTCATGAGTCTGGGATGTTGGGAATTTGTTGTTCTTCACACCTGGGGATGATTTCTGGGCATCTGTTACCAAAACTGTCTTTCCAAAAAGCTTAATGTGCATATACGATGCTGCAGCAGCTGCATCTCCTAGTGATGACGAAGGGATCTTGGAACACGAATCCAATTTCTGGATCATTATACGAAAATTACAGATTTTAGAGTTCCAGCTATACAAATTGTTGGCAAAAATACCCAAAACTTCAATACTAAAAGGAAATTACCGTGGATGATATTTTCTCCTGTTCTGGAGATAAACTGGACGTCACATACTCATTCTCTTTGTCAATTGATAGGAAGCTACTAGAATGCATGTCGCTAGTACAAGAAGGTGAAGAGCATTCATTACGCTGCTCAGAAACAGCAGATAAAACTGAAGTAGGAGATTGAGTTTCCTTTCCTGAAGCCAACAGATTTGGGGATACAATTCTTTCTGCTTGTATGGCTCTACCTTTTAATGAAACACTTGATTTACGAGGATAAGGATGGACAGGCTTCCTCTTTGGTCGAGGAGGCGGTATATCAATTGGTTTAATTGAGCTCTCAGAGCAAGACTCCTTAACCACCTGAAGCCAGGAAATTTGAGTGTAAAACATAAATGAGTCAAATGGACACAACCGTAAATTGCCCTCCAATTTAAAGCATAAAACCTTGGAGAAAAACTTTTGAGCATGGCTTCGAATTTGAACTGCAGTTTTTGTACCTACATGTTCTGCATGAAAACAGAGTAACGTCATCTGATTGAACCAAATACTAGAAAGAAGCTTGGAAGAATCGATCAGAATATTTTAAGGTCACCTTCTATTTGACGCCAGCCACGACCATATAACTTTAATGCCTCAAGAAACCTTTGATGCTCTTCATCTGTCCATTTTTCTCTTTGCTTTGTAATTGTGTAAGGTTTTCTAGCCTGTTAGAGATACTAATTTCATATAATTACCATGAACCAAGCTAAACTGATAGCCTAGTAAAAGAAACTGATAGTTACCTTGGGCGTGCTACCATTGTTAAATGAACCTAACCGGTTTACTTGAACAACAGTTTCAGAGTCTGCAATGGTACTGAAACTGCAGGTAGTAGAGTTAGCAGTTTCACTCATTTTCTCTTCACCGTGCTTCTGTACCAATTCAACATTATCATAGTCAGCATAACAAAAGTTGGGGCAGCCAAAAGAGAAAACAGGATCCAACCAAGCACATAACAAATTATCACATTAGAACTGAAACACTAAAACTAGAGTTTCCGTTTCTTTATTCAGCCCATACATGAAATGATAATGGATCCAACTACAGACGAATTTCTGTTATTACTATTAAACAAGGCCGAGCCTCTTGACTCAGTGACACCAATGCTCCTATCCGACTCGGAGTAGATATCAATATAAGTTACTTTAGATGAAAGCAGAAAATCAAATTCATATTTCAGCTGTTCAGATTCTTCATTCACCTCAAATTTAATGGTAAATTCAGGCAAACAGACATGAAACAAAAACGTATCAATTGAAACTAAAGTACCTGTGCAGACTGAGAGCAAATAGTAGAGTAGGCCCGGGTTGAAATCTCTGATTCTTCAGTGAAAGAATTAAATAAACTCTGACAAAAAAAATTCAACAATTGACTATATGAATTAAGTTCTTTCCGTCTTAATCTTTCTCTTTAATATCTACGAAAAATGCCTGCACAAATATCACTGTGATTCAGATCAATTAGGAACTCACCAGCCAAAGTACTTGGAAACTGAAACAGAACACGAATCAGGAGAGAAATGACAGAGAACATGCTATTAGATTCCAAAAGAAAATCATTCTCCGCAAAATACCATTCACAAGAAAAATAAAAACGCAGAAACGGTGAACAATTTTCTTTCTCCCAGGTCAAAAAAAAAAAAAGGACGAAAGTATCGGGAAGAGAAGAATCAAGGTGCAGTTGAAGAAAGGAAAGTTTGGATCAAGTAGCGAAGGAGGGGGTGTTTGGAGAGCGAGAAAAGCAGCGTATAAAAGCAGAGGATACCCACCAGTCTCTACGTAAGATGTCATTTTCTTTTTCTTTTTTTGTTTTTAATTTTCTTTATTTTTTTCAAAGGAAAATTCCAGAAGGCATTGGAATCTTGTGGCTGAGAACGCAGGGGACCCTGGACACGCGGCGGCGTCGTTTTCGCTCCACTCCATTTTTTAATGGATAAAAGAAAATAAATTCCTGATATCAATTGGATATATGAAGATTTTAATTTTCCACGAAACTAAATCGTAACTGGTCCATTTCCATAAAAAAAAAAAAATTTAATTTTTTAATTTTTATTTATTTTCTGGTTTATTTTTATTGATTTTAAAAATATTTATAATTAATGTAATTTTTCTTATTTTTTTATTAGTATTTTCATGAAATAATCTCTCAAGCTTTAGAGTAAATTTTCATGCCACTTGTCAGGTGTAATATTTCTTCTTCTCCATCTTTTAAGATTTTTTTTAAAAAAATATCTCTTTATCTATTTGTGTAAAAATATCATTAAACAAATTTTAATAAAAATTATTTTATCATAAAAAATAAATAAAATGTAATTTTAAGATAAATTGTAGTTTTGTAATTATTAATTATATTATAAAATAAATATTAAATCATAAAAGTACAAATTTTAAATTGTTATAATAAATAGGTAATATTATTTTTCAAAATAATTATACTCGGTGATTTAAATTATTTCAAAACGTTTTGAAACTCACAATTCTATTCCATTCAATAATAAAATAATTTGAATTTTATAAGTTAATCACAATCTATCGTGAGTTATAAATAAATTTTAAAAATTAATAATAAATCGTATAATTCCATCAATTTTCTGAATTTACTTGAACATAATTATAAATAATTGTGATCAAATAATTATAAAATTTAATATTTACATAATTTGCTTTTAAAACAAGTACTTCTTCAATTGTCTATGAAATTCACATAATCTTTTAAAAATATTTTAATTTTCAGCATTAAACTTTAAAAATTATATACAAATATAATAATTTTATTTGTGTAACACCCAACATTATTTTTTTTATTTTTATAAATATAATTGTTTATTTATTTAATTTATTTTAATTTAATGAAAAAATGGGTAAAAATATAACTGCCCCGGAATTTAAATGAAGATGTATGTATTAAAAATTTTAAATGCGGAAGCGTAATAAAAATTTTGATTAACATCCCTTACACAATAACCAAAAACGTACTCAAAACATGAAAGAATAAGCTAATTAAAAGAGATACTCGAAATAAAAACTATAAATAGAACTATAAAGTCTTTAGGCGTCTAACTCACCGTCTTCCTACGGAACGGGTTCGGGAACCACGTCTTCCTAATCTGAAATGGTTAAGTAAGGAATGAGCTACACTATCCCAGTAAAGACATCACATTATCTCACTGCCACAAAAGTAAAGGTCGGTAGAAAACAAAAACAACCAATGGAGAATATTTTATAACAAACTCATTTATTAATGATAAAAACATTTACTGTCCACTTACCACAGTGAGATTCGTGAAAATATCATATGGAAACAATAACATTATAACCATCATAAAATCATATACACTTTGTAACATAACACATGTTATACTTTTGCACATCAATAATCAGACAACAAATTCCTCTTTTACCAGCCTACTAGTATCTATGGGGATCCATAGGGGGTCCCCGCACATGTAAACCATTAACATTAATAACATGATTCCAGGGCCATTCCCATACCCCGTCCAGTATGGGCGTCAAAACCATAAACCTCAATACCCCGTCCGATATGATGGTGAAACGGGTCGTCCCCATACCTCGTCCGGTATGGGCGCCAAAACACATAAGTTCTCCATACTCCGTCCGGTATGAGAGACCACGTTCCCGGTAGGGTTCCCTACGGACCCGGTCCGTCCACTATCTCCCAAGATATCTAGTCAGGTTGTCCACATTATCCATTTATTAATTCACATAACCTTTTTACCATTTTCCTTGGTCTCAATCATTCAATCATACACAAACGTGTAAACCAGTAATTGACACCAAATAAGACA